TAAGCCAAGTACACAAAGAAATCGATTGCATTCAAGAGGGTCAGAAACAGTAGTGATACCTGGACATTACTTTCTATTAATGTGTGCACCACAGTCTGAAAGGCAGCTTTAACATTCTGTAAGATGTAAAGCTGTCTATTTAAAGAAAGATGTGCCTTTCAAAAACAATAAATTTTAGACAATTACTTATATATTTAAAAAGTAAAACAGAATGGTGATGATGATTCAAAACATCATAAAATATAAACTATTATTCATTATTAACAATAATCGCTGCTTATAAGTAGAAATAAATTTCTGTAATTATAAGGTATTTTCCTTGGTAAAAAATCATCAAAAGATATACCACCTGATTATGATAGTGATTATTAATTATTTTAGAATTATAAAGTACATGTTTTAAACAGAATGTTACTCACATGAAAAAATATCAATAACTGAACTCAAAACTATATAAACAATACATTTATAAAGTATCTTATTAAATATGTAAGTTAAGGGAAACATTTCTAACAAATAACAATTACTTATGTCTGACCTAAGTAATTGATTTGCTAATGATACCTTTCAAGTCTGATAAACCCGTATGCTATAGTCTGTCCTATAAAGGTCTTCATGTTATTTACACTAATAAACATTAATCAAGAGCCAAATTTATAACAGTTACTCTCTAAATGAGGTCAAAGAAGGGCAGACTTACATAATAAGAAAAAAAAAGCTTAGTCTTTGCAGTAAAAAGCAAATCTTTATTACTATTCTTCTTGCCCATGAATTAAGTCTAGTAGCGCTAACACTCTAAACCACTTCTCAAACACATTGTATTCCACAGACTCATTTAACCTCAAGATACTGAATATTTATAAAGGAAAACCAACCCTGCTCCTTTAGAAAAATAAAGATCTGAATTGTTCCTTTAAATATATATAGCTTTAAACAAAGAGAACAAATTTCAAATACTAGGCCCACAATTTCACTAATGAATGTTAGCTTATTTTAAGAACTGTTTACATCAAAACATATTTAAAAAGCTAAAGACTGAGGTTAAACACAGAAAGATTTCTAACCATGAGAGACTACCAAATCCAAACAGTAAGATAAATTCCAGGTAAGAAATCAGAGAATTTATATATATAGCATTATATAAAAATAATGTTATTCAAATAATCATTTCTTCAACAAGAAATAAGAGGAAGTTCCAAGGTGATATGGAGAATTAGAAGGTTCCTCCAGGATTGGGAGCATGGTTCAAGTGATATAGTGCATTCCTCCCAAAAACAAAACCCGAGCTCAATTCCCCAGAACAGAGTGGGGTGGGAGATAAAAGAAGGAAGAGGAAGGAGGAAGAGGGAGAAGAAGAAGAATGGAAGAAAGAGCAAGAGTATCAGGACTCCAACAAAAAAGTGACAGGACAGCAAAAAGAGCAGAGAAACAGATATGGGAAACAAGAAAAGTAGGGAACAGCTGGCAGTTCCAGCCCCAGCCCCCAGAGGTGGGCTGGGGAAGCCAAAGCTGCAACCACAAGATAAACCTTCACCAGCAGGTCTGGTGAAAACACACTCTGAAAGCCCTAACTACAGGAGAAACCCACAGTTCTCACCAAGCCTTTTACCCATGGTGGGATTTTGTATACAATGCTCCTCTTAAGTGGCAGGCCAATACTGTAGAAGAAATTCATCACATCCCTTTCAGTATCTTACTGGTGCTACAGCCAAGTGCAATCTTGACAATAGGCCTATTATTTGAGACTGACCTACTATGGGAAACAAAAACAAGGAAGAACTGCAAATCAAGGGGACATCCTCACAAGTGGCAGGTCTGTGTGGGAGATAGACAGGAAAGATAACTGTGGAGAGAGGGAAGGTCTCTAAACCGCACTGAGTTTAGAAGCAGGGAGATAAGGCTGTAAGAGGGTGTGATGCTTGATGGCCCCACCACCGTGGCACACAGGGAACTACAAGGATTACTGCATACATACTGGGATATATCTCGTGGCACTAATCACAGTATCCAAGTTATAGAACGGCCTAGGTGTGCCCATCAATGAATGGATGAATGAATAAAGAAAATGTGTTGATGTGTATGCAATGGAAGATTATTAACCAATAAAGAAGAACATAATTATGCCTTTTGTAGGAAAATGGATAGAACTGGAGATCATCATCTTAAACTAAATAAGCCAGACTCAAAAAGACAAATTATTCTAAACCTAAATAATAATAAAAACATGAATATAATTTATAGTATGTAAAATGTACGTATGTATGAATAAAATAGCATAATGAAACCCACTGAAAACTAAAATGGGGAGAGACTTAAGAAAGGTGGCTAAAGAAGGGTAATATAGATGGGATGAATTTGATCAAAATGCATTATATGCACTTATCTACATATCATAATGAAACACGATTATACAATTACTTTATACTAAATCTACATATCATAATGAACACGATTATACAAAATTATCTATACTAATAAATAATTTTAAATGAAAGTAGAAGGGTTGATCAAAATGCATATATGCACTTATCTACATATCATAATGAAACACGATTATACAATTACTTTATACTAAATCTACATATCATAATGAAACACGATTATACAATTACTTTATACTAATAAATAATTTTAAATGAAAGTAAAGGGAGGACTACCTAGTTAGAAAGTGGGCTGGCTTAAGGGGAGAGACAGGACAAGAAAGGCTCATGGAGGACAAATACAATCAAAGTATATTATAGACATGATAATGAATCCACTATTTTGAATATCCAGCAATAAAAAAAAGGAAAACCCTGCATAAAAAATATTTGAGAATAACAAAGTTCATTTCAAGAAATGTATAAAAGTGTCAATGGGAAAAGCTCCTTAGCATTCTGAGACTGAGGTTACAGTTATAGCTGGGGTGAGCACAAGACAAAAGAACCAGAAAGAAATTGAAGAGGGAGACCTAAAGATGAACAGTCACTGAAAGTTTAAGGAATGTCCACATATTTTAGACTAGCTGAACACCTAAGCACGGGAGCTGTGATTTCTCAGAAAGTCTAAAGGGCAGGGAATTTTTGGAATGTATTCATCACACCCAAACAGACCAATCAGCAAGACCCTGACCCATGTTTGCTCTAACTCTCAGACAAAAGAATAACAACCCTAAAAAAGCACAAAGAAATTTTTTAACTTTTTAAATGTCCATATCATAAACAACTCAAATAGCCACAAACCAAAAGACTAAAAATTTCTGCAAATTAAGCCAAGGTAAGTTACGTTTTAAAAAAAAACCAACAAATAGCCAGAATGTGGCTCACACCCGTATTCATGCAAGATAGTAAGAGGCAGAGCTCAGGAGATGTCAGTTCCAGGCCTTGGCAAAGTCGTTTAGACCCCATCGACCAATAAAAAGTCATGGTGGCTATGTACCTATCATCCCAGCTACATTGAGAGCATAAATAGGAGGATCATGGTCCAGGCCAGCCATGGCATAAATATGAGGCCCTATTTGAAAATACCTAAAGCAGAGGCTGGAGTAAGGCTCAAATGGTAGTGCACGTAACTAGCAAATGCAGGCCTGAGTTCAAACCCATTACAAACTGTTAAAATAAAAATAAACAAATACAGCTAAACAGGATAAAGTTCCAAAGTTTCACCACACAGGAGAGTGACCAAAGTTAACAACATTTGATTTTGTAATTCAAAATAGCTACAGTAAAGAAATTTAAATGTTCTCATCACAAAGAAATTACTGTATGAAATGACAGATAATATAAATACCAAGTTGACCAATATACAATATATAAAATTTCTAGAATATCACATTGTATCTCACCAAGATATTCACTTAGGTCAATAAAATATTGAAACTACAAACAAAACCAGCAACCAAAACCCTCAAAGAAAAGTTAGAATGCAAAATTGCTAAAAGATTTTTTTTTAAAAAAGCAAAAACCTGATAAGACATCTGAGGAAAAAAAATTAAAAATGTAACTCATACCTATGAACCAAAAACTGCCAAAAAGCTGTCAGTGAGTAAGAACAGATGTTGGATTTTCAAAACACTATGACTAATATGTTCAAAGACAACCATACTTTAAAGAAAAGAAAAACATGCAGACAATGACTGCAAAAACAGAATATGAATAATAATCTACTAAAATGCAAAATGGAAATTCTGTTGTTTAAAAACACAGTATCAAAAAAAATGCAGAAGATTTACCAGCAAATTTGAGATGGCACAAGAAAGGATCAGACATGGAAATAGGATTTACCAGTGAAGAAAACAAAGTTAAAAGACTAAGAAGCTAGAATAATGTCTCAGAGACTTTGTAGGACACCAAGTACATCAACATATGCGTAAGGAAGATTCCAAATCAATACTAAATTTGTACCTTAGAAAAACAAAACAAAGCCAAGCAGCAGAAGGATGGAAATAATAAAAACAAACATGAATCAGTGAAACAGAAACACAGAAAATGAAAAAGATTATTTTTAAAAGTTGGTTCTTTGAGAAACCAAGTAAATATAGCAGACTTACCAAGAGAAAAATACAAATTAACAAAATCAGGAATAAGAGACCATCACTAGCAACACTAAATAAAATAAATAAACAATTATTTATTAACAATAATAACAA